TAAAATCAAATAATTATGGGAGAATAATCTACATAATAAAACGTACCAGTTATACTAATACAACAGTTGATACATAATAGAAGAAATAATATAATAAATTATACAAATAATACGTAATTAATAATACAACATAGTACACAAAATCATATGTAATAGTAACAATAATACAACTTATTATTTAAAATGATACGTAATAGTATCGATAACACAACAGATTAATTCTAGAAATTTTTACTACACAAAATTAATTTATAAATATTAAAATTATTTAAATAAATATAAAATTTGAACTTTTTAAATCGTAGAAATTTCTAGAAAATCAGGAAAAATACAAATACTCTTGTAAAAATAATAATTAAATATTTTAAAATACCTAAAAAAATTATTTAACTAGTATCAAAATTTACGATCATGACAATTACCAAAATTATAGAGAATGCAAAGAAGAGTAAGGACGAGAAGAAGTCAAAGATGCATAACTTGTTGAGTGAGATGCATATCGAGGAGGATGAGGAGGAGCATAACCCCTTGAGTAGTCAAAGAAGCACATCGTCCTCCTACAAGGTAGTTGGGAAAATGGACTCCTTAGCAGCTTATTCTCCCGAGGAGATTGCCCAAATAGTAGCAAAGAGAAAACAACCGACAGTGGCCTCCAAGCTTAAAAAGAATAAAAGGGAGGATGTGTTGCAATACATCTCCAAATGGTTCTATGAAGCCAGCATTCTATTTGATACCACCATGCTTCCCTCTTTCCATCAAATGCTACAAGTTGTTGGCTTGTTTGGAAGTCATTTACGAACTTCATCGATGTATGAATTGAGTGAGAATATTTGCAGAAAGAGGTGGAGGAGACAAAAGAGATTATTGAGAACTTCAAAAGAACTTATGTTGTCAATGGTTTTTCTTTAATGACTGATGCTTGGAGTGATAGAAAGTCTAGAAGTATCATGAATGTAGTTGTGCATTCTGTTGGAAGGGCTTGTTTTTTGTCTTCACATGATGCACCGACTGATAAGCACAATGCTCTATATATTTGTGACTTTGTAGATAAGGCTATTGATCAGTTAGGAGAGACAAATGTGGTGCAAATAGTTTCTGATAGAACTTCAAACAATATGGTGGCCTCTAAGTTAGTGGAGAAGAGGACAAATATATTTTGGACAACTTGTGCTGCACACACTGATACGCTTGTATCTTCTCTTCGGGAGCTTAACATTCCTCATGGGAGCTTGAGGATAGATGATTCTCATGATAGCATGAGAATAGGGGTGTAAAATAGTATAGTAGAACGCAGGTGGAAGCGTGAAACGAGACGACGAGCAGCAGATTCGAAGAATCCAGTTTTTAGCTCGTGAGTCGACTCATACATGAACATGAGTCGACTCATCAGGTTGAGTCGACTCATGACTGTCATGAGTCGACTCACGAAACCCAGCCATTTTGTTAAAAGTTTCTGCTCGATCGACTCATCAGTCATGAGTCGACTCATATGTAGTTTTAATTTGACTCATCGACGGTTTCCTGGTTTGGTTGGGTGTCTGTTCACACGAATTCCTGTTGGTTTTGGGCTTGGTTATTTATCATATTGTCATCCACGTTTTTACACCTATATAAAGGATTGTTTTAGGGTTTCTAAGTAATCAGAAATCATAGGTAATTAAGAGAGATTCTAATCATTGTATTAGGGTTTAGAGAGGATTGAGAGGTTGTTCTCGATTCTAGTGAGATTGTGAGGGAAAGATTTATAATAATTGATTCTTCATAATCTAGAAAAGGTATTTTCCTTCGTCATACTAAATTGTTCTTATGTTTTAGTTGTCTTCTTCTCAACCCACCTTTTGGTAATTCCGTGACCAAAGGGTGCTCGCACGGCGACTCGTATCAAGTTAGTATCAGAGCAATCAGATCCGGTGAAGGGGCATCCTGTGTATGGTCCTGACTTGGCCGTAATACAAGAAGCTTGGCGAGATCCTTATTTCATTGGAAGGAGTCCAAGTTTTAAGGAGGAAGAAGATGGCTGAAGGAGACAATTCCACGAGGATTGATGTATTAGAGAAGCAGATCGAGATGATAGGTTCGACTCTCACACAACTCGTCAGTCTTATCCATGGAGGTGGCAAACAAGGTGAATTTTCTTTGAAGAAAATTATTGAGTCCGATGTGGAGAGAGTAGATTCAGATTCCGACGAGAAGAAGGAGACCATTAAGGCTGCATTGTATCAAACAGGTAAGAATTCTTATCAAAACCTGAAGATTGACTTCAAGGTGGAGATACCTGTTTATGATAGGAGTGTTGACGTCGAGAGGCTTGATAACTGGATCGAACGGATGGAGACGTATTTTACTCTTTATGGCTATTTGTCAAAAGGAAAGATTGTGTTCGCGACTTTGAAGCTTTCAGGGCACATGTTGATGTGGTGGAAATCCTATTGTAAGCAGGAAAAGAAGGCGATATCATGAAACAAGTTCAAGGAGTTACTGAGGAAGCAGTTCTACCCGGTGGGATTCCTTGAAGAGTGTTGTATCATGAAACAAGTTCAAGGAGTTACTGAGGAAGCAGTTCTACCCGGTGGGATTCCTTGAAGAGTGTTGGTACAAGTGGTACGGCTTGCGCCAAAAGGTCAATCAAACCATTCAAGAATACACCAGGGAGTTCCAGCAGTAGGCGATGGTCCTCAACATTACGACAGAGGAATATTCCATGCTTATGACGTATATGGCGGGATTGAGCGATTACATCCGAAAGGAGATGAAGCTATTCACAGTGGAATCAATTGTTGAGGCGAGCGTGAAGGCTATTGCCCTTGAGGGAAAGTAAAAGAAGGGCAACGAGGCTAAGGGAGACTCCAAACAGACAGGAGGCGAGTCTAGTGGTTCTTAATCTAAGGAGAAGAAGAAGAAGGGTGATCCAGGGAAGGCAGTGCTGATTTGTAGTCACTGCGAGAAGACAGGGCACACAACTGATCAGTGCTGGGAGAAGTATCCTCATCTCAAGCCAAAAGGGTTGAAGAAGAAGGAGGAGAAAAAGACATACATGATAGCTCAAGGTCCGAAAGAAGTTCCGGGGATGACAGAGCCCAACAACAGTCTCAACCTTATGATGGGGAAGCAGACCTCGAAAGAGGACGACGACCCGAGAGAGCAACTCTTTGTTCTTAAGTTGCATGTGAAGACCAGTTTGGTTGATGCCATTATTGATTCGAGAAGCGAGAAGAATTTAATATCCAAGGCATTGGTTCAGAAGCTAGGTCTGAAGACGGTCAAGCATCCGAAGTCCTATCCATTGGGGTGGATTCAGAAGGAGGAGAAACTGAGTGTAGTTGATCAATGTACTGTCAGATTTGCGCTTCACGAGTCATATATTAATGAGGTCACATGCGACGTTGTTTTATTGGATGTTTGTCGGATTATACTGGGCAATCCGTACTTATGGGATAAATATGCGATCTACGAGAGGCAGGCTCAGAAGTACACCTTCACTAAGGATGGTGAAAATTTCATATTTCGTTCGGCATCTCTTCCGAGGGATACAAGCTTGGGGACGGTGATGCGAGCGAAGAGACTAGTGAATGCAAGCAAGAAGTTTGTCTCGCTGTGCATTAGACTTCCAGAAAAAGCCATCGATAAAGGATTACAACTTGGGGCGAAAGGTGATTACGACGAGACGCGGGATGGATGAGATGTTTCTGATCGGACGTCGAGACCAGATTCCTAGCAGGGCCAGATGGTGCAAAAAAGATGGAGGAGCTCGAGAGTTTCCTTAGCAAAAGTTCTAACTTGAACGGAACTTCAAGTTCCTAAAGAGGGGACCCATGATATGGGTGTATCTTCTCTTCGGGAGCTTAACGATCCTCATAGGAGCTTGAGGATAGATGGTTCTCATGATAGCATAAGAATAGGGGTGTAAAGCAATACAGTAGAACGCAGGTGGAAGCGTGAAACGATATGACGAGCAGCAGATTTCGAAGAATCCAGTTTTCAGCTCGTGAGTCGACTCATACATGAACATGAGTCGACTCATCAGGTTGAGTCGACTTATGACTATCATGAGTCAACTCACAAAACCCAGCCGTTTTGTCAAAAGTTTCTGCTCGGTCGACTCATTAGTCATGAGTCGACTCATATGTAGTTTTGAGTCGACTCATCGACGGTTTCCAAGTTTGGTTGGGTTTCTGTTCACACGAATTCCTATTGGTTTTGGGCTTGGTTATTTACCATATTATCATCCATGTTTGTACACCTAAATAAAAGATTGTTTTAGGGTATCTAAGCAATCAGAAATTAGAGGTAATTAAGAGAGATTATAATCATTGTATTAGGGTTTAGAGAGGATTGAGAGGTTGTTCTCAATTCTAGTGAGATTGTGAGGGAGAGATTTGTAATAATTAATTCTTCATAATCTAGAGAATGTATTTTCCTTCACCATACTGAATTGTTCTTATGTTTTAGTTGTCTTCTTCTCAACCCACCTTTTGGTAATTCCGCGATCAAAGGGTGATCGCACGGCGACTCGTATCACACACATTAAACTTGATGTTATCTGATATAGCTGAGATAAAACCCATTTGTAATATCATTTTAATGGGGAGGAGTGCATCAATGTTCTTATATAATCACACCAAGTCTCTTCAATATTTGTGAGACCTGGGGTTACAAGGTTTGCTACGATGTTCCTATCTCTAAAGTCATTAAGGTATCATAAGAAAGAGATAAGTCAAATGTTTATCTTTGACAATGGACAAATTGTAGCCTTTCAAAAATATTAGTGGGCGAAAAAGTATATTTTAATTGTATTCATTTTATTAATTTGATTATTTATATTTCATTGATTGTTGAATTCTTTGTAGGTTGTAGAGTAATTACTAGCAACAAGTTTTGAGATAATATAGACTTTGCCCTCAAAGTATTCACTCCTCTAATGAAGGTTCTTTAAAGAATGAATGGTGATAAAATGGACTCTATGAGATTTATACATGTTGGTGGCTATGAATGAGTTGAAAATGGCCCTTGGGAATAATGAGAAGAAGTACAATCTCATATTGAAAATGATTGATCCGATATTTAAGAAGAATCTTAGCGGAACGCTACATAAAGTGGGCTACTTTTTGAATCCTTATTTCTATTACCCGACTTACATTGAGATTGATGGTGATGAAAGCTTCAAGAAAGACATGGTGGAGTGTATACACAGACTCTATCCTGATGACCATGCGACTTTCACAAAGATTGGAGATCAAATACCTAATTATCAAGAACGCCTAGGGTCATTTGGAGATCAGTTTGTGAAGTCAGGAGCTACTAAGGGTGATTTTTCGAATAAATTTATATTTTATTCAAATTAATTCATTGACCTCTTTTCTAAATTTGTCAGTTGCTAATTTTTTTTCAATTATGAATTGATTATTTACTTGGAGGAGGTATGGAAACGATACTCCTGAGTTGAGAAAGATGCCAATAAAGATTTTGGGCTTGACAACTAGCTCCTCAACTTGTGAAAGAAATTGGATTACATTTGAGATGGTAATATTATTTCCTAAATTTTAATCGTCTTGTAGTCTTGTATTGTAGCATTTGATGTGTAATTTTTTTATGCTAATTCATAATTCTATTTATAGATTCATATGAAAAAGATGAATAGATTAACTAATAAAAAACTCCATGACTTAGTCTTTGTTAAGTTCAATGCAATCTTGAAGAATAAGCATGCCTTTGGAGATAGAGATTCTTTATCCGCCTACGATGATGAGGAAAGGGTCTCCGAATGGTTGTTGGGTAAGGAGGGGAATGATAGTGATGATGAAGTATTTCCAGGAGGGTGTTTGACTTTTAGGCAAGTTAGAGATGTTTCTGAAGATAATCCAAGGAAGAGAAAGAGTGGAAGATTGCAAAGGTATAAAGGAAGGAAGAAGTCGGGATCATCTTCATCGAAGGGAGAGGAGCTGGTGGAAGATGATGAGGAAGACGAGATAAATGCAATATGCATGGAGTCGGATGAGGAGGATAATCCTACTTTTAATTCCAATGAAGATTGATACTAGTTATCTTAGCTTTTATGTTATTATGAATTTGCTCTATGGATGTTAAACAATCATGAACTATATGTAGCTTTAAAAACTTATTTGTTTGTTTTGATTTGTTTATATTTCTTTATGGATATGAATCTTGTGATTGCATAAAAATTATGTTGTTGATTTTCATTCTATATGTTATATGTTATTTACTTCATTCTTTGTATGCTATTCTATGTTTACTAACAACGTTTTCTTATTTTGTAGGTCAAGCTCCTGTTTGGTTTCAAGATGCAATTGAGAATCAAATTTCTACAATTGTTTAGTGACCCTAAACATGTTTAAATTAAATTTGGGAATGCTTATATTACATTTAGAACATGATATTATACATATGCTCACCACCAGATATGGCAATCTGATATTTTGTCCATGTCCCCCAATATATCTCTAATTTTTGCTATCTGATATGGATTTTAGTCATTCGACATAAACCTGATAGTCAACACTTAAAACCTTGAGTAGATGTTGTTGATACATACTCTGCCTCATATGTTGACAAAGCAACAATATCTTGCTTCTTTGAAGACCAAGAAAAACTGTTGTACCAAGATAGAAGAGATACCTTGTAGTGCGATTTCTTTCATCCCGATCTCCTCTCTAGTCGCTATCAGAATAGCTGACTAGTTCTGCGTCTTCTCCATAGGCATAAAAGAGACCCTAGTCCATAGGGCCTTTGATATACCTCATAATTTGTTTTGTTACAAGCCAATGAGATTCCTTTGGCATCTCCATGAATCTACTCATGAGTACGACACCATAGACAATGTCAGATCTAGTGATATTGAGATATCTCAAGCTTCCAACCAAGCTTCTATATTGAATTGATTCAACAACTCTACCATCTCCTTCTTTGTAGAGTTTGATACCTATAATAACAAGCATGTTCATTGGATTGCAACCATCCATCTTGAACTTCCCGAGTATCTCCTTTACATACTTCTTCTAGGATATGAAGATCCTATCTAGTTATTGATGCACTTCAATGCCCAGAAAGTAGGACATAAGTCCACAATCTGTCATTTCAAACTCTTGAAGCATTGCTATTTTGAACTCAGAGAACATCTTCTCATTATTTCTGTAAATAATAGATCACCAACATAAAGTCATATAATAAGATATCTCTAATATTTCCTTTTTTCATGTAGCCTGCATCTTCAAAGGGGCATTTGGTGAAGCCATTATAATGTGGGTAACTATCGATGCGTGTATTCCATGCTCGCGATGCTTGTTTTAGGCTATAAAGTGCTTTTTAAACAAAACACTTTATCTTTTTCTTCTTGTATTATAAAACCACCAGACTACTCCATGTACACTTCTTCCTCAAGGACACCATTGAGGAAAGCTGACTTCACATCTAACTGATACATTTTCTAGCTATGATGTGCTACAAAAGAGATCAATAATCAAACTGTGTCAAGTCTTGCTACTGGTGTGAATACTTCTTCATAATTGACATCATACTTTTGTTTGTAGCCTTTTGCGACAAGCTTTGCCTTATAGCATTCAACTTCTCCTTTAGCTTTGCATTTGATCTTGTGCACCCATTTGACACTGATTGCATGCTAGTTAGGAGGGAGAGGAACTAGCTACCATGTGTCATTCTTCTGAATAGCCCGGATTCCTTGCACCATAGCAGATATCCAACTATCATCTTTTGTTGCTTCTTGGAATGTGAGAGGCCCGTTATGTGCATAAAGACCAAAAAGATTTCTATGTACGTGTTCTTCAATTTCATCATAATTATCTTGCAATCTCCTCCTTTTGATTGGAGTTGTGCTTGATAATGATGTGGAACCTTCCGATGAGAATCTAATGCTTCAAAATAATGATGTAGATTGCAATGGAGTTCCTACTCCTAAAAATGATAAGGCACCTTGTGTCTAAGTATTTACATATGCTTCTTGATGTAGTTGCTGTTTAGATGCATGACTTTGTAAGTCTTCATTTGGTTCATCTAGTAGGACTCCTTTGCCATTATCATTGTCTCCTTTGCTCCATGTCCACACACCTTCTTCGTCAAAAACTACATCTCTACTCACTACAATTTAATTAGTTTATGGATTATAGAGTTTGTAAGCTTTCGATTGTTCACTGTAGCCAAAAAGACGCACTTTTCTCCATGATCATCAAGCTTCTTCTCTTCTATCTCCAGTACTTGAGCATATGCAATACAACCAAATACTCATAGATGCTCCACATATAGTTTCTATCTACTCCATGCTTCTTATGGTGTCATGATCTTCATACTCTTTGTTGGACATTGATTGAGTAGGAAGGTTGTGCATGCAATAGCCTCCGCACAAAAGTTCTTCGATAAACTTTTCTCCTTGAGCGTTGTTCTTGTCATGTTAAGAATGGTTTAGTTCTTTCCTTCTACCACTCCATTCTGTTGTGAAATGTATGTTGTTGTAAATTATTGTTGGATGCTCACCTATCTACAAAAATTCTTGAACTCGTTTGACGCATATTCTCTACCTCGGTCGAATCAAAGTATTTTTAATTTACAACCACTCTGTGTTTCAACACGAGCTTTAAAGGCCTTGAATGTTTCAGTGGCAGACTTTCTTTCAAGAAATAAACCCATAACTTTCTATTACAGTCATTAATAAAGGTAATAAAATATCAGTTACCTCAAGGGGAAGGTGGCTCCAATGGATCGCAAATGCGGTTTGTGCCAACTACAATAGGATTGTTGCTCTCCAAGATCATCCTTTAGGAAAGGGTAGCCGATGTTGCTTGGCAAGTGTCCATATCTTGCACACATTATTTGGATGATCAATTATTAGGGTCCTTGCACCACTTTTCTTTTAGAGAGTTGAGTCAAGCCTTCAAATTTTAGATGTTCGAAACGCAAGTGTCACTTCCATGACTCGTTGTTCATTAACCCGTAGAAGCACTTTTGAAACCCCGTATTGAGATGGAAAGGAAATATGTGAGTCTTCGCCATTTTTACCTTTGCCACTAGTCTCCATTTGCATCTTTTAATATGAGAAACTTATCTTCTCTGTGTATTATAGACCCTTTTGCTAGGAGTTGTCCCAGAATAAGTATGTTGCTCTTCATGTCGGGTATATAGTAAGCATTGGATATATATTGAGGTTTTCCATCTTTTAAAAAAAAATTAATTGTTCCTTTACCTTTGACTTGAAGCTTGGATGAATCTCTCAGGCTGACGTTTCCATAAGTGTCCTTTGAGAGTTCTTCAAATTTTTTTCTCCCATGTATATGATTGCTTGCCCCCATAATCAATAAAGTACATGCTCTTTTGATTAGTCTCCTCCTCATGTGCAAGAAGGAGAGGAGGAATTTCTTCTATGTCATTTGCAAAATTTGATTGTTATCCTCGATCAAAAGATCAATTCCAATATTCTGTAGTATAGTGTCTAAACTTGTTGCAATTATAACATTGAATGCTCCAATTACCATGTATGGAATAAATCGTCTTCTGGTAACTCCTCTACACGATTGATATTAGTACTCTTTCCTTGATCATATTGATGCTTGCCTCCTCGACCTCAGCCTTGTCCCCTACGACGACCACAATGTTGTGGAGTTGTACTTCCACGTCCACCCCTTTGCCTAGTTAGAACCTATCTTGATTCTAGTGTTTTGTCTATTATTGTTGAAGCTAATATTCGGTGCATGTGTTTCTCGTAGACTGGAAGAGAACCCATCATTCATCTATTCACATATCTTCAAAATTATGTGTTTCCTGTAAAGCTGAAACCACATAGTCAAACTTATACATATATAAGAGCGAGTATACTTATATACTAAGAGAGAGTATATATATATATATATATATATATACATACAGAGGATTTCCCATGCGCACTGATGCGTATGCATTAGTTCTGTTCTCGTCGAAAGCGAGGGGTTTTTTGAAAAAAACATCCAACGAGTTGATAGAAACGCATCTCGAGCTCTACAGAAGCAAGCAGGGTTTTTTTTTAAAAAAAACCAACGATTAAAAACCCCAAAATCCCATCGCACTGGACAGTCTCTATCTTCATAATTGCTTAATTAAAAAGACTACTTAAAAAAAACTAGAAAAAAATATCGCATCTACAAAATAGTGAAGTTATTTTGCTTGCTTTTTCTTGTTATGAAGCTTCTTACATGACCCAAATCACCCAACTACAGAAATATGAATGCTTGAAATGGAATTTTAATCTGAATTTGGATTTTGATCTCTGTGCTTTTTGACTCTTGATGTTATTAGTATTGTTTAATGACAAGTTGGTTCCTTTTCGAGTTAATTATCTACTTTCGTGATATGTTAGGTTTAATAGAAGAGTAGCAAAGATCAAATTTGACTGTTGGGTTTTTGAGTGTTATTGGAAAAAAAATTCTAGTATATACCTTTGATGTTCTCACTCAAGAAATCTAGTATATACCTTTGATGTTTTCACTTAAGAAATCTATCTTTTTTTACTTATACAAAATTATGCATAAATATGGTTACAACTATGTTTATTGTAATAATTAGTAGGGGTGTCCAAAAATTTTATCGACAAATAAGTTTTCAGTGCGTAGGATAAATAAGTTTGATTGAGCACAATATGGTTACAATGGTATGCTCCAATTTAAGTGTTCAGTGCGTAGGATAAATAAGTTTGATTGAGCACAATGGTGTTGGGTATTAATTTGAAAGTATTCAGTGCGTAGGATAAATATTTACTTTTTTTTAACTTTGCTTGCTAACTGATCATTTGTAAAAATTTTGTTTACCCTCCAATTTGGGGTATTTTCAGGTTATCCATGGCTAGAAAAAGTTTTTATGTTGTGAAGAGAGGTCGACAATGTGGTATTTTTAATAATTGTAAGGAATGCAAATCTCAGGTAGATAAGTTCCCAAATGCCTCCTACAAAGGGTATGCAACATACGAAGAGGCTTTGATTGAATGGGAGAAGCACACACTCGCTCGTGATTCAGCATCCAGCTCGAGGCCTGTCCAAACATCTGTTTATGCTCAAGAACAAAGCACTCGCTCGTGATTCAGCATCCAGCTCGAGGCCTGTCCAAACATCTGTTTATGCTCAAGAACAAAGATGTGGACAAGGAAAAACTTGGGGAAACTTATATTTTCTCTATCTATGCTTTTGTATTAGGTTCATTGTTTACAATATTAGTATTTCTAGTATATATCGTTGCGGTATTTGTTGGGTTCTCCATTGCAAAAAGCATGTGATGTAATTTGTGGTTGAGCTTGCATTGGTTGGATAAACTTGCATAATTTGTTATTCTGTTTTTACTTTTTTCACTTATTTTGTATGAAACTAGTGATATCTGCTTCCTCATATGAGTTTTTGTTGTTCTGTGTATCAGGTGCATATGTTGTTCTGTATATCTGCTTCCTCATATGAATTACACAGTAGAAATGGATCCTCAGATAGGCTACTGGACATCAGTTAGAAATAGAAAACTAGGCGATAATATGTGAGAAAGACAACTTGACCAAGATTACAACCACAAACATTTCCTTCCAAGGAACTAAAGCATGCCTTCATCATTTCTCGAAACACAAAATAAGATTGCTCAAACTTTACAATTACATGCCCATAAAAAGACAGAATACTTGTTGTCTGTCTAACCAAAATTGTCTTGTTCAATCAAGTGTGATCCAAAGGCATAATAGATACTTGTCCTGTTTGCATTATCCTTAATCATTCATGCAACCACATAATCTATCATAATAGGTCATCACAGATAAACAACAATAGATACTCTGCGGAAGGTAAATGCCAATATCTCAATGAAACATAATACAGATTAAGACATTGAAAGACTAATAATTCAGCTGGCAGGCCATCAAACTAAATGATCGGCATCTGTAAGAGTAATTTCCTTACCTTGCACACTAGTCCAAAAAACTGTATGTTCGATCTCCAGTACCAATTTCATGCAACACACATTGATATAGGACAGATAAACCGGACTCAAACACAAGTTTTAGAACATGTAGGAGATACAGATTTAACATTACAACACTAAAAACATTACAACACTGATACACCAGTTTTAGAAGCATAAATTACAAGCATAAATTTGAATGCAAATCCCAACTCCAATTTTAGAAACTAACTGATACACCAGACTCCAATTTTAGAAACTAACTGATACTCCAATTTTTATTCTTGAATACAATACCTGCAAGGAGCGTGCAACAAGTATACATCAGATGTAATCTAATTTGTAGAGTTAGAAGGAAATATGGATATTTCATGTAATAAATCTGAAACAATAGATATCACAGTACCCATATGCACTAAATCTGGCAAAATAGAAGCATGTAGAAGACCATCTTCATAGGGGCACATCATCCCCATCTAATTAATCTCTCAACTGTAACCAACTCCATTCTGTAATTAACCATGTTAAAAATATATGCAGATTAAGATGCAGCAAGTATAGCATACTAACAGGTTTAATTTTGATGTGGGTGATTAAGGCATTAATCTCTCAACTGTAGAATAATAATGAAGAAAAAAATAATCCAAATTACTTTCAGAACATTTTTGTGAATAATCCATTGGTGGATTTTATGTAATAATGTAATTTGACAAGTGGACACTAGCTTTATAGGAAAGCCCTATTTTCTACAGACACCATGACATTCAACTAATGTAAGAAAATTCTAAAAAAAATCAGTAAACTTTTACACCTTGAACCGCATGCAAACCTAAACACAATATCAATACGGAAACACAAAAAATCCGCAAAAAAAAATTAGGGATGAACAATTCACATTATGATACTAAAATCTTCAAGAAGAGCATCTAATTAAGCAAAATCTTCTCAGAAAGACAGCATCTAAATTTTTATGATGCTACAATTTCTGGAGCATTTTCAGCCATTAATTATTAATCTAATCAATTTAAAAAAACTCAAGAACACAATAAAAAACAACTCCTAAACCATTTTACTAAACGATTACATCAACTAATTTCAATTAATTGAATTAATTCAATTAATTGTAACCAACTCCTAAACCATTTCACTGAACGATTACATCACGAACCGCATAAAAACTCAAGAACATAATAAAAAACAGTAATCGCAAGAATCCGCCAAATTTTAGGGATGAACACTTCATAATACCGATACTCAATAATAAAAAACAGTAATCGCAAGAATCCGCCAAATTTTAGGGATGAACACTTCATAATACCGATACTCAATTTTTCAAGAACGCAACAGAATCCACCCGCCAAATTTTAGGGATGAACACTTCATAATACCGATACTCAATTTTTCAAGAACGCAACAGAATCCATATTTGCGATTTAATCAATCAAATGAACAAGAAACTAAGCGATCGTCTAATTGAAAGAAAATACAAAACCTGTAACGAGTTGGGAATGGATGGGCGTGATCCTTACCTGAGTTGGGGGAAGGCAGTGGCTTGATGGAGGAGGAGAAATGAGGATCTCGAGAGAGCGCTCGAGCTCGAAGGAAGATCGGCCGAAATCGGCGGTGATGCTCCTTTCGCGGTGGGCGGAGTTAGGGAATTTGATGGCTTGACGGAGGAGGAGAAATGGGGGAAGGCGGTGGCTTTAATGGAGGAGATTCAATTCTCTCCGATTTTGGGATAAAAAGTCCCTAAAATTATGAGCAATTTTAAAATTTTGAGGGAATAACATTGAATTATTGGATACTTAAAATCAAGGAACTAATAACTAAATAATTTTTACATATTTGCTCGTATAGGCATTGCATTAAACTTCAGTTAATATATTGCTATATCGGCCGATATATCGAGTTAAAGACTTTATCTTGATAAAATTTTATATTGTTTTCTTTTATTTGGTGATTTTTTTTGATATATCAACTTCTATCAGAAGTCTAAACGACTATAATGATGACGAAGAGACCACACTTGCCGGGAGTCTCCGAACTCTACATCATCCATATTGATTATCTATAAATAGACCTGATTGGTCTTGTCAAGAGCCTCAAACGCTTAAACTTCCATCTTGAACTCAAAAACAAGTTTCTTCTCGTTAATTCCAAAACTCTTCGACTGTTTCGCATCGTCCCCGGCCATGGCCTTCAAGAAATCTTGCTCGAGAGGAGACAAAAAGGCAGCGCACACCATGCCATCATTGGAGAATGCTTTCGGGTCTGCCTCCGCACCGACGTCGACGCCTCCCTCACTGATGACTGGTCATCAAGGTAAGTCGTGCTGTCTTTTCCATTTAGCATCCTTTTTTATAAGTTTTCTTTAAATCCCTTAAATGGGTTCTGGTTGACGATGACGAATACTGTTCGTCTCCTTCATCTCAAGCGCAGAAAGAAACTTTTGTGTTCATTGATGAAACGAAGGGCCGATCCCTTAATTTTGAGTGCAGAAAGAAACTTCTGCGTTCATTGACGAAACGAAGGGTCGATCCCCTCGTTTTGACATACTTGAAAGCTCGTAACGCAATTTTAATTCATTGTGTTCATAATGATTCAACGCGGGTCTAGATCCCTTGCATTCAAGTTGATCTTGACGCATGTCTAGACCCCTGCGTTGAATTCATCTATTTTTATTGACTTTGTTTTTATTTGTTTTGTTGCAAGGTGGGGCTTCTGCTTCTAAGCCCCTCATATCCCATGATCCGGGCTATGCCCCTTTCATTCACCAATCTCCATGATTCTCCCGAATGAGGGTTTCAAGCGGGTGACTGATGAGGCTTCTTATCTGGCACCTGATTGTACTCTCTTCCTCCTTAGGTGCCTGGAGAATCAGGTGAAGCAAGCCTTCTCCATCGTGATGCATGGCTGGGGCTCCTTCCCTGAATTTCAAGCTTCTATCGAGGAGGGGCTGAATAATCTTGCTAAAGTCGACCTCTACCATGCTCGACGTTGTGCTGAGAAGATCCACTGCTTCTCAGGTGCCGTTCATTTTTTGGAGGAGCTGAAGCATACAGATTTGGGGCCTAAGATACAATAGGCCATCAGTAATGCTAGGCTGAAAAAGAGGGTTGCTGCCAGAGCCTAATCTTTTGATATCTTGGAAAGGAAGGCCATCATCTGGAGCTTGCAGAAATAGCGTCGCCAAGCTAGGGCCAGACTTGTTGTAGGGGAAATAACCCCAGAAGAGTTCAACCTTAGGGATGCTACCCTCGAGGCAAGGGTCCAAGAAGAAAAGGAGGCCATTCAAGCGCTACAACAAGAAGCTTCTGCTGCTGCCGCGGCTTCTGATGTCCAACTTCGCAAGAAGGCTGAGGAAGAGGTGCTGGTGAAGCATGAAAAAAATGTATCTGAAACAGAAGCTTATCTTTTAAGCTTCTCTTTATTTTAAGCCCCAGTAACTCTTATTTTTATTTTGGTTTTGTAATAACTTTACATTTTTTCTTTAAACACTTATTACCTGCATGAAATGAACTGTTGTGGCCTGTCTTTTCCTTGCATTTTCTGTGTTTTTCTGAAATGTGGTGGTATTGACTTTGGATTGGAGATCCTCTTTGCTATTGTTAGAGTAGTCTTTGGAAATTCCCCTGTTATGGTTGAACTTCTATGTTTGAATGAATTCAACACGGGTCTTGTTCCCTTCAAAAACGCAGGGTTGGGCCTTGCGTCTAAGAGACTTGAAACGCAGTTATAGGACTTGCGTTCGGGGAGGCTAGACGTTTTTTCTTCCAACCTTGGGCATGCATTCCAAGTTGTTAGGACTTTTCTATTGAATTAGATTAAGCTGACGATCTTCTTGTAGATTTTGGAAAAAAAATTTTATTATAACAATTCTCGACAACTTCAATTGTCAGAGGTGTAATGTTAACTTGACGACATACAAAGTAGGAGAAACAATTTACCACTCTTTGTTCAAACGAACTCCTAGTAGGTAACCCCCGGCTAGAAAGAGACTTTGTAATCTACGGGTAATATTTCTTGAGAAATTTCCCATTAATTGGCATCATGAGTCTATTGCCTTTTTTATCGATGAGACGGTAGGCTCCATTGGAATAGACTGTCTCTATCACAAAAGGTCGTTCCCACTTGAGATTGAATTTCCTTTTGGTTTTGTGGGTCATTATCATGGGTCATCTGTTAGCCAAAATTAAATCGCCTTTCTTGAAGGTCCATTCTTTAACCTTTTTGTTATAGGCTTTAGAAATGCGGCCTTGATACAACTCGATCTGCTGTTGAGCTTGAAGTCGCTTGTCATCTAAGGCTTCAAGTTCCTAAAGGCCCAGTTGATGTTTCTCTTCCTCTGTCATTCTGATCGCGATGACGACTCTCAGGGAGGGGATCTGAATTTCTAACTGTAGCACAGCTTCATGTAGGCGTCAAAAAATGCTGAAAGATATCCAAATACAGCTTAAAAGGAAGTCATCCAAAAAATCAAAGAGAAGACAACCTTTACTGTCTCGCCGTGTGAGACAGTCTTTACTGTCTCGCACGCGAGATAGTCTTTACTGTCTCACACGCGAGACAGTATTCTCTGTCTCGCCAGGCGAGACAGTTGTTACTGTCTCGCAGGCGAGATAGTGTTCTCTGTCTCGCCATGCGAGACAGCATTCTCTGTCTCGCTCGCGAGATAGTATTCTTTGTCTCGCCCACGAGACAGTTCTCAAAGGCTCAGAAGTTGTTTTATAAACCGCCGACACGTGGCCACCAACTGTTCAAGAACGTGGGAAACGTCGTGGGTGATCAGAGAGCACTTGTGGGAGCAATCCAGAGCAGAGAGAGAGCAGAGTTCTTGGGCTTCTGTCAATCCCTTGAGATTCGAGCTTTGACTTGATTTCAAGAAGAACGACTATCTTACTTTGATAAGATATCGTTTCAAATTCTCACTTCGATAAACAAAGGAAGAATCATTAAACCCCTCACGATTCAATCAGAATCTGTGATTTGGTGGTCCACGAGTCAAAGCGCTCCCGACACAGGCAAAGATCCCACGCAAGCAGCGATCCAAACAACGATCCTGCGTTTGTTTCTAAAAAGTTGTAATTTTCCTTTTGTTGTGTAAAAGAAGTCTTATAAAAAGACTATTTCTTTTGAATTTATTGTAATCGAACGAAGGTATAATGAATTCCACGGCAAAACTAACTTTTGACGCAAACAAGCTGGCGACCATAGTGGGAGCCAACGGTCTCGCTGTCGAGACCGTCGTGTCGCAGCCAACCATCAAGATCCCGGTTGAATCAACGCTCGAGTACGAGTTCGACCAAGCGAAGTTTGAGGAGTATTTATCATCCTCATATGTAAAGTCTTCCTCGCCTCACAAATGCAGGAAGATTTCATCTTTGTTGAAGTTGTCAAACACTACAGATGAAGACTCTCGCTTAATTGTTGCTGAGGATTCTACTCGCAACCTCTCTGCTCATAATGACTCTTCTTCAATTAAGGAGTCATTAAATCAAAGCCCGCCGGCATTGACGAAAAGAGCTCGTCAGAGACAACGTCAACGCCACACTCGCCAAATGGCTAAGGCCTTGGAACAACCCGACGGAGTTCGTTATCATGCGGACTTAGAGTCGAGGAGGCATCGAGTGGTTCAGTTGTCTCAACGACCAATCACTCATGTCTCTGCTAAACTCACGATGGAGGAATGGACTGTTGTCAAAAGGGCTCGTTCGACCCTCAAAGAACGTATACAAAAACGTCGTGCAAACGTTGCTCATGCCCGTACTCTCTTACAACAAAGACGAGAAAGGAATAAGAAAACAGTGGCCAAAGAACCACCGAAAATCTGCCAAGTTTGGATTCTAAAATTTGGAGTTGTGAAAAATTAGCATTCGGAGCCTGTTAAGACTCCACACCCGCAAGGGAGTGGTTCTAAACGTATGACTCTTAACATAACCTTGGATCGCTCAGAGGCGACGACAAGTCATCCTGGGTATGTTAACAAGGTTCAAACACAAAAACAGAGGATAGATTGCTCTGGTCACCATGCTGACGAGTTGTACTATCAAACTAAAGGTGGAAACAAATCACATAAAAGGACTATTCGAGAAACGAAATCGTCATTGTGTATGTGAAAAACCAATCAAAGCAGTGTTGTCCAAATGCAACTGCTTTAAAGCCATTCCGCCGAAAGTTTCTGTGTTCCAAAGATTTTCTACTGAAATGTCAAAGCCCAAACCGAGACGTTTCAACAAGAAGCTTGCTATTCAAAAGGATGAATTTCCTGAAGTCACCATTAACATGGCTGATAAAGGAAAATCTAAGTGGCATTCAAGTGAACCAAACCCCGACTTTTCCCCGGGAGGAAAAGTCGATTCAAGAATTGCCCGACGGATGTCTCGACTCCAGCTAGGAGCTATCAGGCGTAAAGGCTACAAGAGAATGCATAAAGGAATGTCATCAGAGGATGAGCTCTCGGACACTTGTTCTGCGATCGCTTCAGATGATACATCATCAAGCATAGGGCAAACCAGAGAAGTACTCACAATCACCTCTGATCAATTCGCTCAAATGCTTCAAGAAGCTCTAGCCAAACAACGTGAAGAAGTTAGAGCTGAAATGAAGATAGAGATGGAGTTGGATATCCAACAAATAAAAGAATTGCTAGCTCAACGGTCTCAACCTCCTGAATCCAGCCGCCACACTCAGAATATTATGGATGACAGTGATCCAGAAGTGGATGAAGTCATTATGGCTGATACACCTCCCAATAGTAATAACGCTGAGGATGGTCTAACGGATTCTCCCAATAACGAGATTAGGGGTGGTTCAATAGCACCTCTCACAGGG